GCTGCGATGGCTTGGGCATGTGTTGCGAATGCCTCCAGAAAGGAAGGCTAAGCAACTGTTCCTTGCAAATACCACCGGCAAAAGGTCCAAGGACGGTCAAGATTAACCTGGTGCAAACATATGGAAGGAAACTGTTCCAGACTGCGTTTGTCTTTTGCTGAAGCTTCAGACTCTGGCACAGGATCGGAAACGTTGGAAGCTCTGTCTGACGCGTCTGCCTCAGCAAGCAGAAATGAGATGCGTCAATGATTGATGAAGATGAAGGTAATCGAAACTTGAGGTGATCCCTTCACTTAGCTGATTGTTTTCTTTCATATACGATTACAAATATTAAAATTCTTAGATCTTATTACTCTTGAACTCTGGATAGCTGATTTTGCTCCATGAGGTTGGTGTTCAAGTGCTCATTCTTAAAATTTTTGTATGCCTTCACGCAGTTGAGGAAAATGTTTTTCTTTGATTAACACAGATATATTACTGGCTTCTGAAATGATCTCAAATTCTCATATCTGCGGTCACCGGTTACGTTTCAGCAAAGTCCTTCTGGCGCACGCTGCTTGGGTGCAGACGAGTAGTTGGTGTCATGGTGCGGTCGCCAGTTTGAATCTGTATAACTGGGCTCTAGCCATCTGCATCAACTATTTGATTTAAATCTTCATGTTATCTATCGATGGAACGCTTTCTGTGAGCGAGGTACGGTGTCGTTGTCCTTTTTGTGAAATTATGATTACATTTTCATTGTGATGACTGTGTAAGGTCGTTAAGTCAGCGAGAAGTCATGAGTATGAAGCTAATCATTGATGATGGGTAGTCATCTGTGTGAATTTCGTGACTTATTTGGCCTGTCAGTGGAAAACTATTTGGTAGTACAAGGCTATGTCATTGTCAAACTTGAATATAGACGATTTCCATTTTATTATGATATCGTTATGGTGGCTGCATGGTTCCATTAAAACAGAGTGCACTGATTTGATTTGGAGTCAGAGTCTGCATAAATTGCAGTTTGATTTTATCGTGCAGAAAGTCGTATTACGTTACAGGTCGATTGCAGGCCTTCTGTATGCCCAATATGAAATTTCTGTCACTAGTGTCAATTTCAAAGTTAGCATTTTCGTCTGTCGATTTCACAGTAACAGTCACAGAGAACTGTCCATCGGCATGCAA